CATGAACTGCAGGGTACAGAGCTTGCTCAAACAAATCTGCCTGGTCACCCCTTTCTGAACTAAAAGCTCATTGCCAATCATATTCTACCACTTGAAATGCCTGGACATATGGATGAATCCTAATTATGGGAATAAAATTCACGGACATACAAATAAGCAACGTTATTCTTCATATAAATGACACCAAGTGTGCACAGTTTACTCCTTTGCCAGGCAGAAACTGAAAACTACAGACATTTAAATGTTCTAGCTGCTGTCTCTAAAAATATATTGATAATAGAAGGGAAAAAATGTCTTTAAAAAAACCTCCAACAAGGAATTCATATGAATGAATTCATCTGTAGTTAGTGGATTAGGCACCTGCAAAGGCACAGTGGGATATAACAATATATACCTTTATATGAATATGGAAATCAGATGCCTGGGTTATAAAAGAGCATGTTTGTGTAATGAACCCTTTGACATTTCTCAGCACTGCCCTGTTCATTGTGGCCACCTTTGCTCTAGAGCTGTGATTTTGCCAGGCTGGGGTGCCTAAGAATATTGAATAACTCACAGGGCTCTGATGTGCAAGAATGCTTCTTTAATCACAGCAATAAAGAATGTGGTTTCTGCTTCTAGAGTTCTTCTTGAGTGGGGATGTAACTTCTTGTAATAACTTACACATATCAAAGCAGAGATAACCTCAACAGAAAGTGCTAAATATTAATTAAACTTCCATCCCGATCCAATCCAACAGTCAATTGTGAGGAAATAATTCTCGTAACTGCGAGACAGAAAAATTTCTAATTCTAAAAGTAGGATAAACACTACATCTTGTTCACTCCCAGCAGAGGTGGACACACATAAATGGCCTATTGGGAACGGCCTCAGGAATATCCTTCTTGCTCAGCCATGACCTTTTGGACTGTCTTTTGAGGCAACTCACCAGTCAGCTCTCCCAGACACGAATCACAACATGACTCAGACCTGTCACTTCTTTTCATCTCCCTTCCTCTCCACCAGCTGCTGGAAGAATTAAATGCAGATAGCAGATAAGTACAAATCTGTTAACATCCCAGTCCCACCCCTGTTTTACACCGAGAGCAGCACTGGATGATTAATGCAATGCTGTTTGGGACAGACTGCAAATCAGAGAGCTGCAAAGCCCCTGTTTGTCACAGCAGGGGAAAGAGTGGCTGGAGTGGGACTGTCCTGGTGTCCAGGCAAGGATGAGCAATGCTGACAGCTGATCAAAATATCCACACCAGCCACTCTGAGGTGGGCACTGAGGGATGTCCTGTCTGCTGACCAGGGCCGAGGGAATTGTTGTGGGGAAATCATACAGGAGAACCAACAGTTTGTTTTACCGCCTTCCTTTCTGTCAAGACTGCTAAAGGTCTTTGCTACAGTACTGTCACAAATCATTTTTTGCCTGGTTGGTTTAGGAACAGGAAGAATTTCCTGAGCAATCTTCTTGTCCTTGACTAAAATGCCCACAAGCAAAGTACACGAAAGACACACTTCAAGTCATAAATTAAACCAAAGACCGGGATTTCATATGGAATCAATATTCAGCCCACCTTCACATCTACCCTGGTGGGACTGCCCATTTGCTGAGGGCTTAGTTTCTGTAAAAAAAAATCAGTACTAATGTCTCTCAGCAGCATCTCTTAGATGAACAGGATTATACAGCTCAGCCTGTGTGCTCAGAGTGCTGAACACAGGCTACTTTGGGTCAGACCTCTGAGAAAAAAGAATAAAACCCAAGGTGAAAACGGTGCAAGGGAGCCTGCACACAGTGGAGAGAAGACAAACTATGCAAAGTTGACTAATATACAACTGGGGGAATTATATAGAGCATTTCCATCCCATCCCTCTTCTCTGAACATAAAAGTCAAACTTACTATTTTGCTGGACAGAGTGGGGACAGGGGAAGTATATTGGGGGCACACCAATAATTCATATTTACCGTGGTAAGGGAACAAGAAAAAAATGAGCTATGCAGATCCCTATGTCCAAAGAGGAAAATTCTGGCTAGAAAAGGAGATTTTGAAGCATTTGCAAGACAAATGAATTGAGCAGGTGGATTCTGTGGCTCTGTGGTGCTGAGGAAAAGCAAAGATGGGCTGTCAGGAGGGGTCCAGCCCAAGGAGGCAGGAGGAGCTGGGAAGCCAAATCCAGTGACAGCTGGAAAGGACAATACAACTACATGAGGAATCCCAGGAGGGCAGAACTGTAAGAAATGAAAATTTAAAGAAAAGCTATAGGGTTTTAAAAATGTTTATTTAAACCCAGTATATAATCCCACACAGCTGACACTGCTGGTAACAAATAAACAACCAGACTAAGCTCACCATGCCCCCATCATACCAGAGGACCCAAAAGTAGGGCTTCCTCTCATTTCACTGAATGGTGCTTCTGTTTCCCACTAAGTGAAAAACACAGCCTGATTGAAAGGTTCCTTTGCAAATGCTATCATTATTTTAAATCCTCTGGGTCACATTCTTTTTGGATGTGAGTAAATACTGAGTAATAACAGTTTACACTGATCCTGTAAGAAATAGTAAAGGAAAAGGGGTTTAGCTATAACCTGTGAAGGCAGGGGTTTTTTACAACATCAGAGGAAAGCTATTGCTGCAGAAAGGTTTTTAAAGATTCTCGTAGCCACAACATGAAAACTACTTCTCTATAGCATTCAAACCCTTCTACTGTACTATTAAAGATAATACCACATAAATACAACTTAATCCAGGCATCCGAACTGCCTTCTGCATCATATGTATGATCTTTCCATTTTTATACACAACAAATCTGATAAACAGAGATTATATAAAGAGAAGGCACTGGAGTATTACAGCATGAGTATAGCACAGACTAGTTTCCTTCTTTTCAAGTAATCCCAATTTATGCAGCCAGAGGAGTCTAATAATGAAAAAAAAAACAACCTGACTTCCTTTAGGAAACAGAAAACTATTCATATTAAAAAGTAGCATATTTTACTTTGTCTTCGATATTTCTAAATGTTTATTTTTCTAAAAGCTCTGTATCACAAAAGGGACTGAATTTCTCCTTTATTTTTCCTTTTTTTTTTAATATACTGCCACTATCTCTGTTCTCAACAGCTCTGCCAACCTGAAAAAGAAGAATGAAGAAGATAAGGAGGAACAGAAATAGAAATATCTGTTAGGATTAGGAGTAAAAACAAAATGTAAGAAGTATTTAGGACAAAATTATCCCAGATAACAAAACCCTTGGATGCCCACCCCTCTGGGAGATGGGCACGGGGAGTAGCAGAGTGTGAAGATGTTGGTGCTGCAGCCAGAAAACACAATCCACAGGGCAACAGAAAGAGCAGATTTGTGAGAAAAGAGCTGTAAAGACCTATATTCACACTTAGAGAAGTGTGATGATTCAGATGCTGACAGCCACTTGAAAGACAATCCTGAAGAACAGCACCAGTTTCCTTGTGAAGGCTTTCTGTCAAAGTTTCAAGTGCTTTGTTTACTCCTCTAAGCAAGTGGATAACCCTGAGAAACACAGAACACACAAATGCATTTACTGAGTGAATGTCCTGCAGCATAAAAATAATTGAAGTAATAATCCTGTGGTCCTCTAAATAGCTATCCTCTGTATTTCTTGCATGTAATTAAAGCCAAGGAAATAATGCTGATTATTTGGCTGCAAGGTGTCATGCTGAAAGGACCGGAACAGGGAGAGGTGACATGCAATTCCAACAGGACAAGACTGTGCAGAGCCACTCTGCTAGTGCAGACCACTGGAAAAAACCTGTCACCATGCACAGGTAGGAGCAGTAAAATGAAGGCTCTTAGGAAGGGAAGGGTCTGCAGCACAAAGCTATTTCAGTAACCTTCCAAAGTTGCCATCACAGTTGTTCTCACAGGACATGTGAGTCTTCTCACAAAAGTTTTCTGGTAACTTTCCAGTTTATTTATAACACAAAGTGATTAAAACCAAGTGAGTGCGTATAAATAGTGGAAAATCTCATCAACAGTTGGGTCCAGACGTCCAGAACAGGCACCAACAAGAGCCACAACAGAGTCCTATGGCCATCTGTGAGGGGCATCAGGGAGGCAGGAACAGGTCCCTGAAGCCATGTGGTGGCTTCAGGGAGAAATTTCCCCTCACCCTTCCTGGCTTTCTTCAAGGAGCTGGAGAAAGTGCCACCACATGTCATGTGTGCAGGCAGTAAAGCACAGGAGGAGCTTGGAATGTGGAGTCCATGTGCTGCCTTAATGGAGTGCAGGGTGTGAGATGGGAACATTGTCCCTCTGTTAGTGGCTGCATGGTTATTTTCAGGTTTTGCTGGACTGCTCTGAAACAAGCATTCCCAAGGCCCTTGCAGGGAGTCCAAACAAGGCTAGAAGGAAATACCACTCCATCCAAAGCCCAGGAAGCACATGCAGATTTTTCACCACAGAAAATTGCATTCATCTACTCAGGACACAGAACTGTTGTGTGACAAGTGTGGCCAACCTCTGTGCTTGGGCACAGGGTCTTAGGGATTGTCCCTTCACCAGCATCAGGTGCCCTGCTCCTCGTGGCACTTGGTGTTCACCAGACATCTCTGAGCAACGTGGAGAGAGGTCTGGAACCCTACAACCCAGACAAGCATCACGATAGGGCAATTTCTTTGGGAATGGGATATTAAGTAGTGCTCCCTGCTCTCACAGCCTTGCCATCTGGTGAGTAAAGGCCAGGGTTTGCTCTAATTATCTCTCTCCATCTGCACAAACCAGGACCCACAAAATTTCCTACGGACCTACTTCAGCCAGAACATCTGTGTGTGCTCTGTCTGGAAATCAAAGGCTGAGAAAGGGGCTCCACTTGGTGTCGTGGAAGATGTGGGTTTCACTCATCACACACTCAAATCTAAATTCCTCCAGGGCTTTGCTGACTGCCAGAGCAAGCCCCTGAAGAGAGACATTTACACCAGTGTGCTGAGAGCAGAATCAAACCCCGGATTTACTACTCGCTAGCTCAGAGCAGAAATGCTAAAGTACCACTCGATCCCTCCTCCTCCTCCTCCTCCTCCTGGACGAATCTCTATCCTCCGGCATATGAAAAATGCATTTCACCGCTCCACATAATAATTCTTGTCGGGACTAAGCCGTGACGCCTCCCCCCAAGTCCGGCCGAGCCGCCCGTGTGCTGCAGTGGTCGCCGAGGTCTGCCGAGGACGGCGGCAGCACCAGCAGCATCTGTCCCTGTCCCCGCCGCCCGCTGAGTTCTCCTGCCCATCCTACGGGAGCGGAGGACAGCGAGTCTCGCAGCCTGCAGGTGTCTCCCGGCGGAGGAGGCTGCGGAGCCCCTCGGGATCATGTGTGGTACCCGAGCAGATGTTCACTCGCTCCTGGTGCTCTCTGCGAGGCAGACCCTCTGCGATCCCGTCAGCGCTCTGAAGCTCCCCGGCTCCGAGAGGACGGCCCCGCTCCCGCGCCTGCAGCTGCTCCTTTAACGTGCAAAGGCAGGATTTCAAGTGAAGGGAAGAATGGGAGTCTGGCTGCAGCGTTTCCTTCACCGCTACAACAGCAGACTGGGAGAAGCTGAGAGTTTTGGTGCCTGGACAACTGGATTCTGAATCGTGAGAGGCTTTGAAAGCCCCCCCCTCTCCCAAATAAAACAAACCCCTTTGACTTCTTCTCTCAGCAGGAGGGGGAGGGAGGGCGGATTTACCATGAAGACAAATCGAAGATGCAGAGCCCTGCTAGCAGTGAGTCTGAATCTGATGGCTCTCCTCTTCTCTACAACAGCTTTTATCACGACCCACTGGTGTGAGGGCACACAGAGGGTCCCCAAGCCGAGCTGTGGGAAAGAGAAGAAGACAAACTGCCTCAACTACGGCGGGAATGAGACTGCAAACGAGACGAACCAGAATGTGGTTCATTACAGCTGGGAGACGGGAGATGACCGCTTCCTTTTCAGGTATTTCCACACCGGGATCTGGTACTCCTGTGAGGAAAATATCAATGCTGCTGGTAAGTATAAAACAACTTCCTTGCAGCTTGTGTAGCTCTGTGTTTGCTTCGGTGCGATAAACACACAGGCTGCGCTGTGTCTTAGAGCAGATTCGCCCTGCAGAGAGAGGCAGGATTTTAATAGTTCTTTGTTGAAAAGCAACCTGTTTCCAGCGAGAGCAAGGATTTTGCTTGTTCACCTGCTGGCTGGTGCAGGGTCTGTGCTCTCCAGCCCGCTGAGCCCCCGAGCAGCGGTGTGTGCTCCCCTCATGGGCACTGCAGCCGGGCACTGACCAGCGCTTCCCTTCGAGCTGCTCCATGGAGCGCACAAAAAAGGCAGCGGCCGGGAGTTGTTAAGGAGGTTCTGACTTCTAATTCTGATTGCCCCGAGGATGGGGGTCTGAATGGCAGGGAAAGCACAGAGGTCACAGTTTTTATCGCGCTGTAGCCTAGACTGCCTCTTTCCTGGCATCCCTTTAGGAAGTGACCACCCGCAAGCCCTTCCTGGATGGTTTGTTTGTTGAAGTAGAGAAATGGCAGTTAAAGGGCACAACTGGGCACAAGAAAGCTCCTTTCTGTTCCCTGCTCAGCCGTTTACTTACTGAGAGCCACTCAAAAAGACATCTCTCCAGCTTCTCGGTGCATTTATTTGCTCTGCTGTACCCTGGCACTCACCAAGAAATCAAACACTGGAGGGTGGATGGCAGGCAGCTGCCATGGGACCCATGGAAGTCTCAGCAGGTGCAAACTGACAGTCCCTGCACCCAGAGCTGTCTGGTAGAGCAAACATCCAAACTCTGCCTCAGAAAAAGCTCTTTTCTAGGTTATGTGACTTAAAGTTTACAAATGGGACACAGTATGAGACGATGGATTGTGGATACTGGTTCTTTGCTGGGCTGTCTCCATCCTATCCTGCCATTGCCCAAGGAGGAGACTGGGGAGTTGGTCCTTCACCACTGCTGGGAGAGGGGAGCAGTTAATATCCTACATCTTTGAGGACACAGTCTCTTGGTAATGGGAAGTTTATGAGATCCTGGCAAAAGTGCTCTGTAGGGATGTACTATAAAGTGGGGCAAATTTGGGCAGGCACTCACAGCCTGCTCCATCCCACAGGGCTGTGTGTTACATATTCTCCCTGGTGTTTTTGAGGATAGTGCTTCAAGAATTAGTTGGTCATTAAAACTCAATTTAATATAAGAAAAGGAAAGTTCATGAACTCCAGCCCTGAGACTGTCAATAAACAGCTGCATGCTGAAATGAGGGCACCAAATCAACCCTCTTGATGTAAGGAAAAAAAAAAAAACACGGACAAAGGATGATTTATCTTACTTATTTGAGAATCAACTTAGGCCACAGCAGCCTGAGTGAGCAGCTTAAGACTCTCTGGCTTTTTGAGCATCTTAGCTGGAATTGGCACAATCAAGCATGCCCATATTTCTAGCAGATATTGAAATCTTTCCAAGTCAAGATGTATGTGTGAGATAAGTTGTAACTGTGTGACTCTAGCCCACTCAGAAAAGTGAGTTATCTGTGGGAGAAGAGAAATACAGTGATCTATTCTGTACTGGGTAAACAAAGCTGTGCTGGAGTGGGTGATTTCAGGAGAGAGCTGGAAGCCAGCTTTAGAAAGTTATGGTGAAAGCAGGAGAGAAGGGGTTGTTTCTCCCTCCCCACACCACCACAGCAGCCATATGTGTGTTTCCTCTTATTTGAAACACTAACTTGGGGGAAAGTACTCTTGAGTTAGCAGACCAGGAGGGACCAACCTTTGCAAATAATCCAGGCAGGCACAGGGACATATTGCCTTAGACAGACAGCTGCCTCATTCAGATTTACTATATTTTTTTTTCTGGTAAGAACAGGAACAATGTAATGGACACAGGTCTAAATTTGTCCCTAATAGTGTCAACATAAAATAACTGACAGGTTTTCATTCAGAGTTACAGGCTTGTAATACCAGACTGTCAGGATGTTGTAATGGCCTTTTGCAGCCTGACTGGTGATCATTTTGTCTGAGGCACCACCCAGCCCCAATCCAGCAGCACAGTGGTCATGCTTGTATGTACAGCCACCCCACTGAAGATATCTGTGAGTAATCCATCCCATGGGCTCAACACACCATCCACAGCACACTTACTGACCCCAGTGCTGTGAGTATCACAAGTCATACACTCACCATGTGTGTATTAAATAGTATTGTATTACTTGTATTAAACAGTAGTGTATCTAATTAGCAAAAATCCCTAGTTGAATGCACTGTATACTGTCAATAAGATCTTTTGTAGAGCTTTACCCAAAACATACTGAGAGTGACTGCAGCAGCAGCCTTCCTCCAGGCAAAGTCCTTTCAGCAGTCACTCACAGCCTCACACCTCTGTCAGCAGAACATATGGCCACAGTCTATGGTCAGCACCATTGCCACAGCTCCCATCCCATCCCTGGTTCCTCACTGACTCACTGATGTCTGAAGTTGAGCAGTGTGAGTCCCACCAGGCACACGTGAATGCCAGTAACTCTCCCTGTGATTGTGATGCTGTCAAAACTATGCAGAGCCTCCAAACTTGCCCAGCTGTGAGCCACATTCTTCATCCAGCCACCAACCAGGCTTTTGATTTCTCTCTCCCTCCAGTCACACCATCAAAACTTTCTGCTCCCTGCACTGGTGCAGCTGCAACACAGCAGATCTTGTAGAGCCAACACAACAGGACCAGTTCCCAGCAGGTTGATGCTGCAGGAGCTCCAGGAACAGGACTCCAGGGCTTCCAGTTGGCTGGCGTGGCTGGGACACAGTCACACCTTAAAATGACGTTTAGGCTGCAAGCAAACCAGTTTTTGGGTGTCTTCTCCTTCCCCTTGTTTCTCTGCAATGGGCATTTAGATTCCAGAGGCTGAGGTGCAAACAGCATGTCATCCACTTTGTGCAGACCCCAGCAGAGCGTGCCTTCCTCTTGTTGCCAGCTTCTAGTTTTCACTGACAGCTCTAACAGAGATTGAATGCTGTGATTATTTCTGAAATAATTTGTGAATCTAGAGTTTATTTTTATCCAGCACGTCTAGGACAGCTAAAGAATTCAAAAAGCATTTAGCACCTGAGAAATGTAATTGTGAATCTCCTCTGGGAACAGAGGGACTGGAGCGTTCATATTTCACTGGTGGAGGAGTCCTGTAATTATTTAGCACAATTTCTGACTCAAAAGTGTGCTGAATCCACGTCTACCAAAAAGAGGACAAGGCTTCCCCTTTCAGAGTGGGTTTAGTGCTTTGGATGCCACACAGGTGGAGGTACCTTCTGTAGGAGAAATGCATCTAAACTCAGAAGGGGATGAAGCTAAAACACATCCCACAAACTCTGCTGGTCATGGGTCCTGTTCTGCCCTCACACACTGCACTTGGGGCTTCCTCCTGGCTCTGAATTCCTTGGCCATGGCCAGATGTCTCAGAGCCAAGCTCACTATCACTTAATTTCTTTTTGAGTGTGACTTTGAGTGTGTATCTTATTGCACAGCTGCAGTCTGGGGCTGTGCTCGGGCAGTACAGGGCACAGGATCCCAGGGCAGTGATGTACCAACAGCAGCAGTGCTGAACCAGCTGGCAGATTCCACAACTCAAGAACATACATGCCATGAAAAAAATTACCACATGAAGTAGGTAAGGTGGTAGATGGTATCCTAAGAGGTAGAGGAGTTGGAGAGCTGGGAAACAATAAGTCAGATAGTTTCGCTCAATAATGTGCTTGCTTTGATGTTAGTAAAAAAAACCCACCATGAACTCAGATCTTGATTTCGTTACCAATGAACAGGCAATCTCAGTATTAACATACACAACTAAGGGGAGAAGCAGCTGCCTAGTTGCCTTTCAAGAGTACTGTCCCATTAAATAAACAGCCCTTCCATCATGCTCCCGTACTCCATAGCAGTCAGAAAAGCAGGAATGGATAAGTGTGGCTTGTTTTGTGGGTTTGGATTGATTTTTGAGGGCAAAGGGGCCTGTAGCTCTTTGTATGCTCCGTGCCAAATATTCCTTAGCGCTCTTGAAGGAGTAAATGGTAGATAATGGAATTTAGATGGTAGGTAAGGATGCATCAAAATGAGCCATAATTATGGGCATTAAGTGCACCTTGAGAAGGAAGCAGAGAAGGAGAGAGGTGTATCCTGCAGAAATGAGTAAATCTGTGACATGTAAAGACCAGAACTTGCCATACCCTTTTGACAGCTCCAGAGTGGTTCTGCATCACCTTCTCCCCCACGCCCCTGTGATAATAAGCATATCACAGTGATTCACTGCAGGTGGCTGTCCAGAGAGGGACCAGGAGAAGCACCTTGTGAGTATGTAATTAAAGGCAAGAGGAATTGGGAATTCTTGCTGGATTATGAGAAATAAGATATAATTGGCATGACTGAAACCTGGCAGGTTTATTTGCCTGACTGGAATGTAAAAATTGCTAGTTCTAAATTGCTAGGAAGGAAAGAGTGGTAAAAGGAATTGAGGAGGTAGAGCTCTATATTAAAGATAAAATTTCCAGCACTAGAGGAACTGAACCCAGGGGGCCTGGATAATCTCCATCTGAGGATGTTGAAATAATTGGTACATGAAAATGCAGGTTTAATAGAAAGAATCTGTACATCACTGTATTTAAAGAAGACTGGAAAAAAAGTGATACAGGCCACTTGACCCAGGAATCTTAGCACAGTTTTCAGGGAAAGCACTTAGTGCATGGCAACAAATGGGTTTTATCAAAGGTAGGGCTTTATTGAAGGTAAATCTTTTAACAAGATGAATCACTTCTTAGACAAGGGTAATGGATTAGACCCATTCTCTGTGGATTTACAAAAAAGCGTTTGATGGAATGTCCCAGTGAAAATTCTTTACAGGAGAGCTACAGAGACTGGAGAGGATGGTAAGAACACGGTGACAGATGCAGGGATGCTTCCACACTGGGGAGTGCTAAACTGCCTGAGCCACTTCAGGCTGGAAGGAAGGCACAAGGTACAGAGAGATGTGATATTGGAGGGGATCAAGTG